CGGTTCTGCCTTTCTAGAATAAAAGACTGCCAACAGTTTTTGTGTTGGCAGATAAACACCGAGTAGTTGTTGTTGAGTTTTTAGTATGAATTAATAGACAAACCTTCCCACTTGGATGCAGAAGTCACCACGGATGGTGCCAGGCTTGGAGTCTGCAGGGTTGGTTTCCCCCAGCATTACTCTCCCAGTTTTAACCACGTTGAGTCCTTCCCATACCTTAAGGTAAAAAACGAAAATTCTGTTAAGCCATGCCTATGTAAAATACTGACAATTCATCTTTGCTCTACCCTACTTTGCAAAGAACAAAGGCTCTACCACTAAAGACATTGACCTTGCCTAGATTCTGTCTTAGGCCTGTGAAGGTGACAAGGGAAAAAAAAACATATTAACTGGAAGTAAGTGAAAGAAGGACTATCAACATTGTTACTGCAGTGAAGGAGATACTCTACCAAGCCTCAGAGTTAATGTACAAAGCCAACTCCCAACCCTTTGTGTTGTGGTGGAATAGGAACACCCTGCTGAGTGTTTCTCTCCTAGGAGATGATATTGGAGCAAGTACCTTGTTTAGGAGGGAATGTAAGAATTAATTACACAGAAATTGGGTTTTTGTGTTACAGATCCCGACCTTTTTTTGCCCAAAACAGATTTTTTGATGCAGAAGATTTGCTTTCAGGAATTTTGCTTTATACATTTGCATGTTAGGCATTTTAATACCCATTTTATAGGTGCACTTTTTTCGTTATGTAGTAATTTCACTGTCTTAATTTTAATTTTTTTCTTTTACCACTATCAGAACTAGGTAGTTTGAAAAAAATGTTTCTGCAACCATCTCCGAATATTCCTAATAATTTATACAGCAAGACAAATATCTTGAAGAAAGTAATTTTAAACTAAAATCAAGCCACTTACCATGGCCACAATAGGTCCAGAGTTCATGTATTTAACCAAGCCAGGGAAGAATGGGCGGTCTTTCAGGTCAATGTAATGTTGTTTGAGAAGGTCTTCAGAGGCCTTTAAAAGGGCAGATGTAACTTTAAATATAATTTTCTGAGTATCATTGAACAAAAGGTGTTACAGGTGTACGACTATGGCGTTAGTGATTAGATTCACTAATAATTGACGTTACCAACAATGCTGCAGTGCTATTGTGGCACGGTGCTATTGTGCTATCAGTGAGAGCTCCTGCTGTAACATTAAAGGAGTCCTTTGTGGCAGTGCTGGGAATTGCCAATATGATTTCTTTGCACTGCAGTGACCCTCAGCGATAAGCAGAGTACAGGATCCCGGGCTGGTGTTACCCAATACAGCCTTTCAGCCAAGGCCATTCCAGCTCTCAATCGGGCTCTATTAAAGCCCTGCAGCAAAATTCGCTTTATTTGAAAGGGGAGAAGCCTCGTGCCGGGCAGGAAGCCGGGCCTGCCGCGTGCTCCGGCACATCCGCCATCGGATCCGCGCTGGGCCGCGGGAGCAGCGGCCAGGGGCGATGGATTCCCGGTGAGGGTGCGGGTGTGGGGAGCCCCTTCGGGCAGGGCAGGGACGAGGTTTGGGGACAAGGCGCGGGCACTCACGTGCACGAACTTCATGGCCACGAGCCGGAACCCTTTCTGCTCGAACCGTTTGATGATCTCCCCGACCAGCCCGCGCTGGACGCCGTCGGGCTTGATGGCGATGAAGGTGCGCTCGCCGTTGCCAGCCATGGCTCTGCGGGCGGGAACGCGGCGTGAGGGGACGCGCGGCCTCAAGGTCGGCGGCGGCCATGGCGGCACCGCCCCGCCACGCGGCACCGCCACAGAACATCCCCCCCCGGCCCCACCGAACCCCGCCCGGCCCCGCCGAGCCCCGCCGGGCCCCTCCGCCCGCACCCCCCGTGCCCCGGGACCGCGGGCCCGGCCCGGCCTCACCTGCCCGGTGCTGCCGCTGCCGCCCGCGCCGCTGCCGCCGCAGGAAGAGGCGCAGGCGGAGGCGGGCGGGCCGCGGATCCCCCGCCCCGCGCAGGGGAGGAGCCGCCGGGCCGGCGGCGCTTCGGGGGCGGGACCGCCAGCACCGAGCGGGACCGGGCCGGGATGAGGCCAGACGGGAGCAGCCGGGATTGCGGCCGCTGCCAGGCCCGGCCGCCGAGAGCCCTGGCGGCTCTTGGCCAGGCCCGGCGGCACCTGTCGCCGCCTCGGGGGTTATTAATATACAGACGCAGATACTGTGGGTTAAGCCTTTAAGGCACTGAAACGACGGCGGGTGTTCAGCACAAGTAAATCATTTTTTACTCATTTTTTGCTGGGTTGGCTGCTTTCAGGTATTCCCGTGGCCGGCGGGTTGGTCCTGCCAGTCCGGCTGCACAGCACAGCACGACTACAGCTCCTCAAAAGCGTATTTATCATAGAAATCGATGTGGGATCTGTAACCCAGGAACACTATTGGTGATTTTATTGGGAAGATGAAGCTGCCAAGTGCCGAAACCTCAGTCCCTGAACCCGTGTCACAACATGAAACAGGGAGTGTGTTGTGCCTTTTTATAATGTTTACTACCCGGCCCTTTCCTAGTCGATAGAGCATCTTAGCCTGAGCAAGTTATAATCGTACCCCATCACTGCAGGTGGGATATCAATGAATTAACCTCTGCAGTCCTTGCATTGTCTCTTATTGAGGGGCCAGTAGTGGCTTCACAGGATTCACATTCATGGTTTCACACTGCTCAGGCACCTCAGCCATGCAGGAATGCTGGCCTCCACCTCTTCCCAGTCTCATCACATTTAAAACACTAATCAGCAGCTTTCTGACAACCCCCATACCTCCAGATAAACCACATTTCTCTACATTGTAGAATCAAGTAGTCTCAAGTAACCTTTCAAGCAAAGATTAAACTGGGACTCTCATCTCATGCACAGATTTGTCACTCCCTTCCTCTTTTTTTAACCTAATGATTTATCTTTTGTAACACTGAATATTTTCAGAAGAGAAGTTCACAGCCTCACCAACAGCTTCATAGAGAATTTGTTCTCCCTCCTTATACTCATTAATTTAAGACAAAATATTTAAAATTTAATTTTATTTCACTTAAGAAACAGCAAATATTGTTTTATTTTGTGCCATCTCTTTTTAGGAGCTCAATATCACAATAAGGTATCATAAGCCTTCAAATCAACATTCATTGCATAGTTCAGTATTCAGATACAAGAATTCACTGTGGGGGGGAAACATCCTGGAGCTTGAGCAACTGATTCCATGAAACTCTTGCTCTAAGTGAATAAAATGTTGCAGGTTAATAAATACATAATATCCGTCCAGTACAACTTGTGCTGTTGAAACTGAAACACCTTCTGCATTGTTATGTCTGTTCTTCTTTACATCATTAAATTAATACAAAACGATAGTGCTAAAGTCACTTCTGAAATTATTCAAGGACCCTTTGCTTTGTACTTCCAGCTAATAAAGGACTGTCTCAGTTTGAAAAGACAGGTCTCTGCTAGGGAAGGCAGGAGCCTCCCTTGGATTGGAGAATGTAAACCCCCTCTCTCCGAATTATTATAATTTTGAAACTAAGGGGCTCTCAGACAAAGCTATGAGGATAGGAATCACAGTTCCTATATGAGGATAGGAATAATTAGTATGTATAACAAGGCAAACAAAACAACAACTATGGAATTAATAACAAACAGAAGCAGGGACCCCGTGACAGCCTTCTCGGCCGAGACGGGAAAGGAGGGAGGAGAGGCTTTGGGGCAGTCGGTCCCGATGCCCCTGCAGGACTCTGAAGAGCTCTAAGCTGGAACGGCAGGAATGAGCAGAAGATGCCGGGCTGGTGGACGAGATGTGTCAGAAACCGTGGCAGAAGCTGGGCCTGCGGGATGTCCCGGCAGGGCAGGGCTGCGGGGCTGCAGCGCACAGAACACAGAGAGGGGCCGGAGGAGCCGCGGGGCCGGGGCAGCGAGACTTGGCAGGGCAGGGATGGGGGCTCGGGATTCCCCGATGGGGATAGGCCCCTCCTTTAGTGAGGTGGGCGTTAATGAGGCCCCAGGTCAGTGCCTGCTCTCACGAGCAGAGGCTCATCCCGCCGAAAAAAAAAAAGGAGAGGAACAAGAAGAAGAACAAGGAGAGGAACAAGAAGAAGAAGAAGAACAAGAACAAGAAGAAGAACAAGAAGAAGAACAAGAAAAAAGAACAAGAAGAAAAATAACAAGAACAAGAAAATGAAGAAGAAGAAGAAGCTCCGGGCTGGGTTATGGCGAATTCCTTTTCTCAAGCACCAGCAGCTCCTAGCTGAAGCCGCAGAGTGAGACAGAAGGTGGCTGCCCCCCACCCTCCTTTCACCTGGGCCCGGCCAACTGTTCGTTTTCTCAAGTACCCAGAAGTACCAGCAGTCAGTGTTTCCCAGCAACTCATAGGAAAAATTCTATAGGTAAGAAGGAACAAAAGAAAAGAAACCTAACCCCTGACAAGGACACTAAAAGAGAACAAAGCTAAATTATCAACTGTTCAGCTGGCAAAGCAAACACCACTTATTACTCTATGCAATGTCAGAGAGCTGCTGCGCTGAAGTGGCAGAAGGTAGAATCTCCCTCATCCATCCTCACATTAATCTCCTTTTCACATAAAAGGACATTTCATAAAGCCTGGCCCGTTAATCTTTAAATGCTAAATTAAATTTTAATCTTAAAATGGTAAATAAATCCCACGTAGAAGGAAAAAAGAGCAATTGAAACAGTGTCCGTGTGGAGGCCAGATGTCATTTTAGCCAGAGCTGAGCTCTCTGTGGCACACCATGCTCTGGGGAGAGAAATGGGCTTTTTTTTCATGCAGCTGTTTTAGGAATGGGGACAGACTTGACTTGATATTCAGTAAATCCTCAACATTTGGGCATATTATTAATGCATTTACACACCATCAGTTATCCTCTAATGTTTTAGCAAAGTTAACTTCTGACTCTGAGCCACTTGCATGTTTATTTACCAAATAAATTTTTACCTATTTTTTTAATGCTTACCAAAATACCCTCTATGACTATAAAGTGCTTCAAAAAATATATGTTATCTGCTCTGTGTTTTTCACCTCATATCTCTCAATCTCAGAAGCAGCTTTTAAAACATACAGTTCCATCTGTAACTTGACAGCTTTTAAATCAAACGAGCAGCAAGTCCTGACCCTTTTTAACATCCACAACAGAGGAATCTCACTGTTTTCTGAGGTTTCTACCAGGGAATTCTTTGGAATAACTAGAGGCTGGCAGCTGCTCATGGACATGGGGATACCAGAAGATCCAGGCTGGGTGTTAATCATAGATCCACTCATGAGCACAGCTTCTGTAATCAACCAGTTCTTCAGGAGTGAACCATAAATTGATCTCTGTCTCAGCACTTTCCACAGAATCACTGCCATGAATGATGTTCCTAGGAAAAGGTGAATAAAAGAGTAAGAGAATTCTTAAAGTATAATAAGCTTCTTGTTTTGAAGGGCTTCCCATTATGGACAGGAGCTTTAAGAAACAGTAAAGTAGGAAAAGACACAGCTTAGGCAGTGCCAGCTTTGCTCCTCATTTTTGTCAATGGGGACAGCCATGACTCGATTCCCATCCTCAGATCCTAATATGACATGAGCACAGGGAATGGCAGCTCCATGTGTAAGACAGAGAAGGATGGAGCACAGTTCCTGCAGATATCATGACATAACATTTGGCATTTACTGCCTTTGGATGATACAAAAATTTTTTAAATTTACCTTCCAACTTGGACACAGAAGTCTCCACGAATAGTGCCAGGCTTGGAATCAAATGGGTTGGTTTCCCCCAGCATCAATCTCCCAGTCTTAATCACATTAAGACCTTCCCACACCTTAAAGAAAAAAAAAAATCCATTCAGATTATTACATTTTAGCAGCAGATAAATTGTACCATCCACAAGAACCCAGGGGTGTCCATCATGGCACAAATCACCATCTGAATATTTATCACAGTGAGATGTATTTTATCGCTAATTCTTCTATCAGATTCTTGAAGCCCCTGCTCACATAGTCCCCTTCTGTACAACCCCCCTCCTCACCCAGGGTGAGGAGAGAACAATTTTCCATTTCAGTATGTCAAACAGTCTCACAGCATTGTCTGCTCATGGGAGAGCTAGACTTCAACTACTTTACAAATACATTATCAAGGAGAAAAAGATAAATATTCCACCATCCTTTTTCAGCTTCCTTACTACATGACATTTCAGAGTGGGATTTTTGTGCAGGTTTACTGTTTCTCAAGGTCCTGGTTTTGATTCCTTTTTGCCCCTGCCCTCTTCCTCAACAAACTGACTCAAAGGAGAGAAAGATTATGAGGAAAGATTAAAGAAAAAGAGTTAACAGCACATCTTCCTACACTAAGTATTCGAATCCAGATTTCTAAATCCTTTTAAAAATAAACTAGAATTCAACAGGTGACACAATCTGATTGCAGGGAGGACAATCAAGCAGTGTGGTTCTCCTTGCCAGGAACTCACCATGGCTACGACAGGTCCCGAGTGCATGTACTGCACCAGGCCATCGTAGAACGGCCGGTCCTTGAGGTCGATGTAGTGTTCCCTCAGAAGGTCCTCAGAGGCCTGGGTTAAAAACCAGACAGACAGAGAAAAAAGCTTACAGTAAGAACTTAAGAGCATAGTGAAATCACAGAGATTAACCACGGAGTAATCCTGGAATCCTGAAACTTGCACGCACTTCAAAATTCAGTATTTCTAGCTCCTTACTAGGAGCACTTTTGGTCGATACAAATTCGAACTGTTTGCTTTAACAATTAAACGTAGAAAAGTTTCTGTTGCCCACACAGGCAGTTAATGTGACCTGGGATTTGTGAAAGATACTCAAAGGTATTTATTAGGCAAAGGATACACCTGAAAGAATATTCTCTTCAGACTAAGGGCATCAGGTTACTAAAATTAGTGTGCTTAGCATGTCTAAAGCATTTAGCCAGAGCTGGGAATTGGAACTTTTCCAAAAAACATCCCAAGTGTGACTTCTCAAAATTTCAATTTTAAATGTTACAGAGGCCACATTTGTTGGCCTCTCTATAGCATGCTGCTCTATTCGAAGGCTACAGCTGATATAAAAAAGCAGACACAGTAATTGAGGAGAGCTTACATGTATTAATTTCATGGCTACCAGTTTGAATCCTTTTGTCTCGAAGCGTTTGATGATCTCCCCCACCAGCCCCCTCTGGACCCCATCGGGCTTGATGGCGATGAAGGTGCGCTCGTCGATGGCAGCCATGGTCCTGAGCAGGGAGAGAATAAAATTTGTTATTGCAGGGCTGTGTGATCCCAGCCCCGTCTGCTCTCAGTCTAATTAGATTGGCTGCATCTGAGGGTCAGTAATCCACGGTCTCCAGTGTCTGGACGAACCAGTGACCGCACACAAGTTTTCCCAAGTGCTGCAGGAGTGAGTTTGGAGCAGTGGAAGGGTGCCAAGAGTAGGAACAATCAGCGAATACTGAAATCAGAACAGCTCTGAATGGAAAGGAAGGTAATGATCACCACGGATCCATCTTCCGGTGCCGTGTAAAAAATTAATAAAGTAACCCACACGCGGAGTTTTCACCTGGAAACCAGCAGGACCGGAGGGGCTCCGAGCAAGGGCGTGTCCGCGCACACCTGAGCGGGCAGGTGGGGAATGCAGTGACACTGCCCGGGGACACGGGGACCCTTCCCGCTTCCCCGCAACCCGCCTTACCCGCTGGTGTTCGGGTGGCTCTCGCAAACCTCGAAGCCTTTTCCCCCGCTGGTGGCCCGGTGGCTGTGGCTAACGGTGTCCCCCGCTGGTGGCCTCGGTGTGTCTGGCAGCCCGGATACCCCGCTGCGCTCCCCGGGTGTCTCTCGCAGTCCGTGTCCCCGCTGGCTCTGGCCTCCCGTGTCCCTGTCCGGTGGCTCTGTCAAGCCGTGTCACCGCGGGTCCCCGCTCGGCTTAGCCGTGCCCGCCCCGGTTGCCGTGGCGACAGCGCGGCCTCCCGCCCGCAGAGAGCGCCCGGAGCCATCCCCGCCGGCTCACCCCGCACCCGGCCAGCGCCCTGCCCCTCCAGCATCGCAGCCTTGCCTCATGCACCCCAGGCTTTACTCAACAGAATTTAAAATTTATTAAAAAAATAATTTAAAAAAATTTACTTTTAAAAAGATTTATTTTAAAAAAATTAACGTTATTTAACATAGCGTTATTTCAATAAAAATCTCATCATACTGTTCAGCTTGTAATTCCTCTTTAAAGGAGGTTATTAATTTTGTTCTCTTTTTTTCCTGGTTATACTATATTAGCTCTTGGAATCAAGAGATCCTTCAACCATTTACCACTGAGCTGCTTTGCCTTGAGCATTTTGTTTCCTTTGAGAGAATTGAGAGTAAAGCATCTGGATGGAAATCCATGCTTGTCCCATTTTTGTTTCCAAACTGAGATTAACTTCCTGGGCTCCACTCCCTGGTTATTCTTGAAAGCAAAACAATGAAGATTTTGCTTCCCTCTGGGGAGGACTTTGTTGCTTGACAGGGAAAAGTTCCGCTTTTTGCTAACATTGATTTCCTTACTTGGGATCCCTTCTCTTCACCACAACCCATCACACATCCATGTGGTACTTTTAGTTCTGGTGGGAGACTCCAGATATGACCTAAGCATCTATTCACCCAACCTGCTTTCTCGTATTTAGGGGCTTTTTCCATCATACTTTCCAAGATCTCTGACTGAATAGATGATATTTTTAAAATCACAACATCATACATTCTAGCAAGTCCTCCTTGATTTTATTTTGGAATCAGAGTTTCTGAGTATTCTCCTGACAATGCCAATCCAATTTATTCTCTTGCTTTGATACACATTTATTTGAGATGTTTCACACTACTGAAACAAACTCTAATGCTGTAATCTTCCCTATGGAAAAATATTACATAAAAATAGAAAAAAGGTTTCTAGAAACAGAATATGTATAAAAATATAAGTTTAAAGCAGCAATAGGACATCTATTTACAGCCTTGTTAAATCTAAGTCATTTAATGAATAAAGCTTAGTACTTACCCTAGGGTGGGCAAGCACAACTTCCAGCTTTACCATAGATCTGTTCTGTGACCTTTGCCAAGTCTTTTAACCTCATTAAATACGGGTCAACTTTGTCACTTTTGAGATTAATCCATGATTAGCAGAGCAAGTTGTTCCTGTATAAATGAGCTTTTGCTGGTGTCTTGGTTTGAAAGACAGGTGTCTGCTAGGGAACGCAGGAGCCTCACTTGGAATAGAAAATATAAATCTCCCTCTGAATCGTTACAATTTTGAAATTAAGGGGCTCTCAGGCAAAGATATGAGGATAGGAATCACAGTTCTTTACTAGTGTGTATAACAAGGCAAAAAACCCCCAACAAGTGCAGCACTAACACCAAACAGAACCAGGAACCCAGGGACCCTTCTCAGCCACGGGCACTTTCCAAGAGAGGCTGGGACTGGGTTTGTGGCTCTGTTTGGTGTTGCTGTCATTGCTCTTCTTCTTTTGCCTTGTTATCCATATCCACATATATATATATATATATATATACATTACATATACAAATACATTAGTAAAGAACTGCTATTCCTTTTCCCATCTCTTTGCCTGAAAGCCCCTTAATTTCAAAGTCACAGCAATTCAGAGGGAAGGGGTCCACATTTTCCATGTCAAGGAAGGCTCCCTCCTTCCTTGGCAGACACCTGTCCTTCAAACTAGGGCAGTGTATAACTGCCAAAGAGAAACAGGAAAAAAAATAATCCCTTCATAGAGATAATTTCTGATAATTTAAATGAAAATTTAACGTGAGAAAATGTATGAGAGAACACATAATGTCTTTTAAAAATTATTTTTAAGCTGGAATGATGTCACTGTTTGGTAATAATTAAAAGTCAAACAGCTTTTCTTTCCTTTTGCCACGTTTATAAATTGTATTTCAACTGTCTGTGCCCTTCCTGTACCATGTCAAATATTAGCTTGTGAGGATGATGATGATGTCTAAACAGGACTCACAATAAATCCAGTATACAGGGCTGGAATCTTTTCTTCTTTGTCATTCCTGCGCAGACTCACTGGCTCAGTGCATGAAGAGACAAGGCAGCACATGCCTTTAAAGCACAGCTCCTGCCTTAGAACCAGTCCAAATGAGAGAAAATTAAGTGCAAAGCTCTGCTGCTCTCCAGTGGAACTGAATGCAATCACCACAGCTAAAATTCCACCCCTTCTCAAGCTTTCTGCCTTTTTTAAAGCACATTTGAATTTCTTTATTCCTGGACTACTGCTGGGCAACCAAGTTCCTCAGCTGTACATGTGACATTACCTACTGAAAAATACTGATTTCCCCAACTTTGAGCTGTATAATAGAAGTTGCACCAGAGGACGTTTAGAGCCGATATTAGGAAAAATTTCTTCACTGAAAGTGCTGTAAAGCCCTGCCAGAGGCTGCCCAGGGCAATGATGGAGTTACCATCCCTGGAGGCATCTGAAAAACCTGCAGATGTGGCACTTGGGGACATGGTTTACTGGTGGCCTTGGCAGTGCTGGGTTAATGGATGACTTCATGGTCTTAAAGGGTTTTTCCAACTTAAATAACTCCGTGATAAAATGAGGGATGTGAAACAACTCAGAAAATTTTCAATCTCAGTACATATTTTTGTAAATGTCTCGAACAGCTCCCATTGTTCCCATGACAGAACACATGATCCAGAATGGAACTCCTTGTTCCAAATCTGAGGAAAATCAATCTCTCTCAGCAAGCGCAAGATGCCTTCTAAGCTGTATCGTTGCTAAGAAAACAAGATTTCTGATATTATCTGGAGACCTTATTAGAAAGGAAAAGCATGTTTGCTACCAGACACCAACCAACACAGAGCCCCAGGAACAGTTTGGGAGCTGCAGAATCCCAAAATCCAGAAGCTAAGATCCTAACTCCTTCAGTCATCCCCCAGTGAATCACTGGGTCTATTTATGCCTCGGTGGGTGTGACAAATAAATACCCTGAGAGCTGTCAGACTGCACTGCCTCACATCTGCCATGCACAGAGGGAGCTGCCTACAGGACACCCCCACCCCACAACCCAACCAGAGCTCCCCACCCTGGTCCCACACTAAGAGACTAAAGGGACCAAACTCCTGCTATCAGGGACTCTCAGAGCCTTCACCAACAGCACCAGGGCTTCAGTGTTCACTCTGGTGACCTGAATCAGGAATAGCAGCACCAGGGAAGTGACTGTCCCTCTGTTCTTGGCACTGCTGTGTTCAGTTTTGGGCTGCTCACTTTAAAAAGGACATTGAGGGGCTGGAGAATGTCCAGAGAAGAGGAACAAGGCTTGTAAATGGAGTATAAAACAGAGGCTGGATTTGTTCAGTGCTGAGAAGAGGAGGCCTAGTTGTGAGACTTAGACCTCACAACTCTCTAAACTACTGACAGGAGTGTGTAGTGATGGGGATGGGGCTCTCCTGCTGGGCCTGCAGAGAGAGGACCAGGGAAAATGGCCTTAAGCTGAGATAGGGGAGATTCAGATTACATATTATAAAAATTCATTTTTACTGTTTGTGTGGTCAGGAATTGGAAGGGGTTGCCCAGGGGAGTGGTGGAATCACCACTCTGGATCTATTTAAGAGACACCTGGACCCAGCACTGGGTGATGCGGTTCAGGAGTTACAGTGGCAGTGCCGGGCGCATGGTCAGACTGGGTGACAAAATCACAGAATGAACGAGGCTGGAAAAGATCCTTGAGATCATCCAGTCCAACGTGTGACCCAACACCACCCTGTCAATCAGACCGTAGCACTGAGTGCCACATCCAGTCTGTCCTTAAACACCTCCAGGGGCGGTGACACCTCCCCAGGCAGCCCAGTCACTCATTCTGCGAAGTTTCCAACCTGAACCTCCCCTGGTGCACCTTAGGGCTGTGTTCTTGTGTCCTGTCCCTTGTTCCCTAGAAGCAGAGCCCGACCCTCACCTGGCCGCACCCTCCTGACAAGAGAGGGATAAGATCTCTTCTGAGCCTCTTTCCTTCAGTCTGAGCTCCCCCAGCTCCTCACACAAAGTGTGCTCCAGACCCTTCCCCGACCTTACTGCCCTTTTAAAGGTCTCTTCCAGTCTTTTCGACTCGGTGATTCTGTGACCTCGGCCGTATCTCCGACACTCCCGCCCGTCCCGGGGCCGCCCCGCTCCCACCGAGCGCCTTTACCCGAATGGCGACCCCGCCCCCTCACCGTCACACAGACCCCGCCCCGATGACATCACCACACAGACCACGCCCCATGTATGACATCACGTCACTAGCCCCGCCCCACGCTGCTGTCCCGGCAGGCCCCGCCCGGCGCGGCGGGTGAGGTCAGAGACGCGCGCCGCTCCCCCGGCCCCGCCGAGGCTCCGCCGCCGCCGCCGGGAGCCGCTCCGAGCAGGACCTGCCGGGCCCCGCCAGGCCGCACACGAACCCCCGCCGCCGCCATGGAGCTGGCGGACGGCGTGGTGTACCAGGAGGACCCCGGCGGGCCCGGCCCCGCCATGATGTCGGAGCGGGTGTCGGGGCTGGCGGGCTCCATCTACCGCGAGTTCGAGCGGCTCATCGGGCGCTACGATGAGGAGGTGGTGGCCGAGCTGATGCCGCTGGTGGTGGCCGTGTTGGAGAACCTGGACTCGGTGTGCGCGCACAGCCAGGAGACCAGCGTGGAGCTGGAGCTGCTGCGGGACGACAACGAGCAGCTGCTCA